CAGGTATATGAAAAGATGCTCAATATCACTAATCAGGGAAATGCAAATCAAAATCACCATGAAATATAACCTCACATCTGTTAAAATGGGTATTATCACAAAAAAAAAAAAATAGGCGGCCAGGTGCGATGGCTCACACCTGTAATCCCAGCACTGTGGGAGGCCACGGCAGGCAGATCACCTGAGGTCAGGAGTCCAAGACCAGCCTGGTCAACATGGCGAAATGCTCTCTCTACTAAAAATACAAAAATTAGCCAGGCGTGGTGGTGGGCGCCTGTTATCCCAGCTACTGGGGAGGCTGAGGCAGGAGAACCACTTGAACCAGGAGGCAGAGGTTACAGTGAGCTGAGATCACACCACTGCACTCCAGCCTGGGCAAGAGAGCAAGACTCCATCTCAAAAAAAAAACAAACAAAAAGGCAAGATGTGTCAGTGAGGTTAGGGAGAAACTGGAACCCTTTTGTACATTGTTGTTAAAAACGCAAAATGGTGTAGCCATTATGGAGTTTCTTCAAACACTTAAAATTAGAACTACCATGCAATCAAGTTATCTCATTTCTGGATATTTATCCAAAAGAATCAAGATCTCAAAGAGATATTAGCACTCCCATGCTCATTGCAGCAGTATTCACAGTAGCCAATATGTAGAAACAACCTAAATGTCCATCAAAGGAAGAATGGATAAAGCAAATGGTATACACATAAAATGAAATATTATTCAGCTTCAAAAAAGAAGCAGGCCGGGCACAGTGGCTCACCCCTGTAATCCCAGCACTTTAGGAGGCCGAGGTAGGCAGATCACGAGGTCAGGAGATCGAGACCATCCTGGCTAACCCGGTGAAACCCTGTCTCTACTAAAAACACAAAAAATTAGCCAGACGTGGTGGCGGGCGCCTGTAGTCCCAGCTACTCGGGAGGCTGAGGCAGGAGAATGGCGTGAACCTGGGAGGCGGAGCTTGCAGTGAGCCGACATCATGCCACTGCACTCTAGCCTGGGCGACAAAGCTACACTCATTCCCAAAATAAAAAGAAGCAAATTCCACAATATCTAACATGAATAGGACCTTGAGGACATTATGCTAAGTGAAAGAAGTCAGTCACAGAAGGCAAATTCTGCATAATTCCACTTATATCTCTAAAATAGGCAAATTCATTGACTCAAAAAGTGAAATTGTGAGGCAAGGCACAGTGCCTCACGTCTGTAATCCCGGAACTTTGGGAGGCTGAGGCAGGTGGGTCATGAGGTCAGGAGTTCGAGACCAGCCTGGCCAACATGGTGGAGCTGCCTCTACTAAAAATACAAAAATTAGCCAGACGCAGTGGCACATGCCTATAGTCCCAGCTACTTGGGAGGCTGAGGCAGAAGAATTGCTTGAACCCAGGAGGTTGAGGCTGGAGTAAGCCGAGATCACATCACTGCACTCCAGCATGGGGAACAGAGCGAGACTCAAAGTCTCAAAATACAAACCAGAACAATAATAAAGCTCATAATCAAACTTTATTTTTCAAGAAAAAAACTCCTGAATTCTTAAGTGTCAACATACAACATTTATAAAGGCTATAATTCAAGAATTTGTACTAATTATAGAAAAGATAATGCAGCTTGACTCAAACAATATCTACAGTAATTAACTAAACTAAAAATTTACAAGTGAATTTTTTTTTTTTTTTTTTTTGAGATGGAGTCTCATTCTGTCACCCAGGCTGGAGTGAAGTGATGCGATCTCGGCTCACCGCAACCTCCACGTTGGGGTTCAAGCGATTCTACTGCCTCAGCCTCCGAGTAACTGGGATTACAGGCATGAGCCACCACGCCCAGCCAATTTTTTTTTTTTTTTAATATGGGGTCTCCTTATGTTACCCAGGTTGGGCCAAACTCCTGGCTTCAACCAATCCTTCTGCCTCAGCCTCTCAAAGTGCTGAGATTATACACATGAGCCAGGATGTCAGCCCCTCAAGTGAAATTTTAAAAACTCTCAATCATCTTCCTTTTGTCTAGAAATTATCACTTGTCCATCCCATTACTACCATTACCAAAGCGAAATAATAAAAAGAATCAAATGATGCAACTGAAATTTCTAATTAAAGATTTGCTCATGCAAAATATTAAAACCAATGGCTAAAATGAGAGTTGGAAAACAGAGAAAATATCAGTAAACAAAATTAGTATTTATTACATATTGGCATGAAGAAAAGCAAAAGCTGGCAATGAATTACACAGAGTCTGAATGAGGGAAGCCACAAAGCTAGTTCTAGCACTGAAGGCTAAGAACCCTGGAAAGCCAACAGAAGAATCCTTCCAGATACTGTTACCTCCTGGTATTCATTACCTTTCCCAATCTCCTTTCCTTTCTACCTTCTTCTTCAGGATAAATCCCTTATATATTCCTTTCTCACCATCCCTATTCCCTCATACAGAATTTTTAACTCCCAGAACCATTCTCTTCAGCTTTCTTATTCTCTCATCCTTCCACTTCTTAAAATCTCATTCTCATAAGGTCACATATATATATATACACACACACACACGTGCACACGTATATATATAAAATGTATACCATATACATATGTACATAATGTATACCATATACATATATATCTCTCTCCTATAAACATTTTCCAACATTCACATCCAACTCTTATAAAGTTTAAATAATTATTCATGGAGATATACCCAACTACTGACTTTTAATTTACTGCCTGTGCTATTTACATATGCAATTTCCTATGGTTTTAGTCCATGTGTGTATATATAGTAAGAATTGTTAGATGTTAGAGATTCTAGCTTGCTTTCAATAGATTTTTACATAGCGTCCCTTCATTATGACATTTTGAGTCGTCTTTTTACCATTCTAGTCTTTTAAGAGAACAGCTTAAATCTATATAAAAACAGAGAAGATTCCTAAAAATTACATTTAAATGGCAAAAAAAAAAAAAATACATTAAATTCTACTAAGAATTTCACAGTATTAATGGATAGAGCCATATCAACAGGAAAAAAAAATTGAACTGGTACTGTTATTCAAAAAAATTTTAAGATTAAATTATTTTTACTGGATGATACAAAGTGTCTCTGTCTCACCTGCAGTGTATTTTCTTTCTTTATAAAGGAAAATCTTTACTAAACATTATGTCCTAGAGATTTGTTCCATTACCATAGACTCTATAAGCAAAAGAGATAATGATTTATATATTTTTAATAAGGGAGGCAAGGAAAAAGTATCATATGATAGGGTTTTCTTCCCCTGTTAATCTGTTAGAAAACTAAATTCTTTGAAGTCTTTTTTCCAACTCTGGTATGATTTAAGTCTTCATGTAAAAAGAGAGAAGCTGACAACACTAAATGGCAAGAAAAAAACATTACTTGGTTAAAATGGTTTCTATCACTGTGAATCTCATTTAGCTTATCATTAACTTACTTTAGTCAAATCAATTATTTTCTCACAGAAATTCCTTACTATATCTGAGAATTTGACAAACACCTTTTTGGGGAAGTAGAAATAATGATACATTTATAAGAAGGCCAGAAAAAAATCTAAGTCATCCATAACTTACTGAAACCATTGTTAGTAAATTTAAATTTTGAATTTATCAGTAATTTTAGTCTTGCAAGAAACTTTTAAATTTGTTTTATTTTGAACTGTAAAAAACTAATAAAACCATTTTTTAAATCTTAATTTACTTAATAACAAGGAAGAAACTTGGCACTGTATATTAGATTTGCAAACACTTGTTAGGAAGTTAAATTTCGTTAGCTATCAGGTGTATACAGCCCTGCCAAAAGAAAAACAACAGGACAGCTGTCACAGCTAATTCTTACCTGGATAGCCTCTGCCACTAACAAGGTATAGTCCAGACAAGTTGAGAGATGCATTAGGTACCAGCTTATGGTAAACATTACACAATGAGTATTTCATTTGCACACATTTCTACTCTTCCTCTTTAACCCCTCAGTAAGCCTAGCAACTTTTCAGTCTAAATGTTCATGACCATTACTCTCCCATATTCTACTGTCTTCCTTCCCCTATATAATTATTTTTTTTTTTTTTTTTTTTTTTTTTTTTGAGGACAGAACTCCCGCTCTGTTGGGCCGGCTGGGAGTGCAGTGCTGCGATCTCAGCTCACTGCAAGCTCGCGCCCTCCCGGGTTTCACGCCATTCTCCTACTGTCAGGGCCTCCCGAGGTAGCTGGGACTACAGCCGCCCGCCAACCTCCGCCCCAGCTAGTTTTTATGTAT